GGCTCACTACGGTTTAGCATTGGTTTAGTATTAGTTCAGTATTATTTTCAGTTGACTCACTACAGTTTAGAATTGGTTTAGTATTGGTTCTTCTTTTTGGCAGGCTGCCCTGGCCATTTTTTTCACAATTCCCTACCCTTAAACAAACTGCATTATTGCCTTCCTGGGGGTTCCGTGTGCCACCTTCTTGAAAATCTGTCAGGGTGCATCTTCTAGTACAGGGATTGATAAGGAATTTGGTGGTTTGGGACAGGAAGCAATCCAGAGATTCTGGACATTTCTGGCTTTATCTGAGAACAGCAGGGCTTTCTTCTGCAGGCTGCCCTGGCCATTTTTTCTTCACAATTCCCTACCCTTAAACAAACTGCATTATTGCCTTCCTGGGGTTCCGTGTGCCACCCCCTAGAAAATTTGTCAGGGTGCATCTTCTAGTAAAGGGATTGACAAGGAATTTGGTGGTTTGGGACAGGAAGCAATCCAGAAATTCTGGACATTTCTGGCTGGACTCAAACGTTTCAACCCTCAAAAATAGTCCATTCTTGGAAGGGGACATATTTTCGGGATTTCGGGCAGATATTTTTCTGTAATACCTACCCGTTTTGCTTTTCAGGAGAGTGAATAATTTTGAGATGTTTTTTCTGTATTCACTCCCGTTTTATTAATCGCTATCTAACATTCAGGGCTTCGCCCTAAACCTGCGATGACCAGATTTACAATGGGCGGGGCTCATACTTGCAGGAACTGACCGGTTTCAGCAATATGTCCAATGTTTTCTGCTCGTCTTTCCCATCTGACTACTTTTAGCGGCCAACCTTTTTGTCGACGAAAGAGATGGCCAAACCGCCAATTTGCTCTAGGTTCTCAGAAGGCCTGAGCTGAACCAACGTGTGTGTTTCTTCTTCCAAACGCACAGCATCGTCTCCAACACATCGTTTGGGGGGTTGCACAGTGGGAAAAGCTGCCGTTAAGGCAATCAAACCGAAACCCTTCAAGCGGCTCGTGCGTCCGTCAGCGGAAAGGATACGAGTCAAGCTGGCACGAGGGAGCTCCATGTTGCACTGTAAGGCTGATTTGAGGCTGATTAAGTTAACATTCTTTGTTCGACCCTAGGGCGAGCAATTCTGGGTAGCTGTGCAAGTTCGAGCAGCTTCCAAAAATGGTCCTCAAGCTTATACAATCTGATCGCTAGACTGCGATTTGCGTTCAATCATTGGGTTGCCATCGACCGGTATTCTTCCTCGTTTTTTTTTTTTTTTTTTTTTTTCCATGCATACTTGAGGCGCTGATGGCAGTGCAGAAGCTGCATACAAAGCCGCAGAGAGAACAAAGCGGCTGGGCTGAACGTGGCAAAGATCCACATCATGTCCGCATGAGGTGTTTTAGGATTGGCGTGGTCAAGGAAGGTTGTGTGATCATGAGTCATGTCCGCAGCTGGGGGTGTTTCTTGTTTGATCAGCCAAAGGGCAAATGTAAACCTCGGGTTCATTCGACAGGTGCGGGGCGCAGCTTTCTTTCCAGAAATTATCTCAGACTAGTGGTTTATGATAAAGATGTTTAGCTCGTTGGTTTGCAAGCATAGCTTTTGGCATGCCCAGCATCGCTTGGGCTTCAGCAATTACGAAGCAGCTGCGAAATTATGGATTCAGCTGGGTGCCAAATCAACTCTAAGTGGCCTAGAACGAGGGAACCATTGGTTTTCACTTTGGGTTCCAGAATAATGAGGGGCAGCCACGCATCATTTTGGGTTTGGGATGGGCCCCAACAGTGCGGAATGTCCAATTGGTGACTCTAATGAACAGGCATCAGTTTGGCAACGTCCAAAGAGATGCCACACACTGGAATCATAGGTGTCGTTTTGGGTTGTATTGCTAGAAAAATAGATGGCCCTGGTTTACCTGGTGGTTTAATCATCTACCAGGGCAATCTATTTCCCCTGAAAGGACACCTATGACTGGAATACACTCCCTTCGCCGTGTCCAAGGCCCCAGTTGCCAAGTACAGCCCAAGACTCATGCAAAATCGCCAAGATCATGGATCACTAGCAGCAAGGAGTATTGTTCCAATGTCAACCAACACTCTCAAGTGATTCTAACCCAACGCAAGAGGTTGGACCCTTTGCCAGGGTGGTGATCTCATGTTGGTTTCCTCCCCAAAGCAGCCTAAGGGCGCCAAGTTTTGAGACACAGCCGCAAGCCACAATTCTCCATCAAAGTCGCTCTAGCAAGTGTTTGAAGCCAGTCTTCTTTCACATGTCATGACCTAGATTCGGATAGATGCGGGGTTGATATCTTTCAGTACTGCCAAACCCGCATTTTGGATGGTTTCAAAGGGAAACCAGAATGAAACCAGCCAATTTGGGCGGGTCGCCCTATGTTCAGACAAACAACCCATGTTGGTGCATCTGCTAGGAGCGCGCGTTGACGGCATGGGGCTTTTGTTCGACCCAGCTCTGCCAGATCCTGCCTTCACTCTCTCGGTGACTTGGCACTCCAGATGTTGCTTTGAGATTTGAGTTCAACTTCGTAGCCTTAGGCCACCGTCCAGCTCCAAGGATTGCAACCGGCAAGACTAAGACCAGTCATTGCTTCAGCTGAAGCCGAACTTGATGCCAACTTGAAGTGGCATTGCGCGACCCCGCGCGCTGAACATCCTTTCAGGGCACAATCAAAATACATGGGGCAGATAGCTCGTGATGTTGGACCCTGTGGCGTATGCAATCAGGCGATTTGGTAAGTGAGGCCTGCTGATCAACACCCCAACTTAGAGACTTGCTTGAGACAAGTCACCAGAAATGTTTGATCCTCTTCTTGCACCGTGCGTTCAAGGCCCAAAGGATGACGGGAGGTGGGTGAGCTGACGCATGTTAAAAGTGACTCGACGTGATCAAACTGTGACTATATATATATATACACATACATACACTTCTACTAATATAGTGGTATACACCTACAACATGGCAATGTTCATTCTTACCATTTAATTGAGTAGCGAGCAGCTGGAGATCAATGCAGAAGCATAAATAAGCACAATAAATCCTATGCTTAGTCACTCCCTACTTTATTCCACGGGAAACTGGCCTTTACATACAGTCTTGTGCTGACAAGTTAAGTTGCTTTTGGAGTTACCAAGTATATGCACCTGGACAGACACATATGATCGTATACGTGCTAGAAATAAACGATAAGCATGCTAAGCACAGGCTGGGGCCATGCTAGGGATAGAGATACTTTAGACATATGCAAGAGGTCTGAAAAGACACATTGGGCATTCCCTAGACACATGGCAGATAGGGTTTGGGGTCCGGTAGGGGGGGGGATGTTGTCTTTGGCTTAGGGCTTTGGTACGCGGTTTGCGCTTTGGCTCAGGGAAAAAGCACACGCACACGAGGAGTCTGCAAGGTATACATTGGGCGGGAATGGATCTTGCAGGAGTGGCCAAACAAATGTATGTAGTAGCTTATTATTATTATTTATTATTATTATTATCAATCATCATGATATTGCTTGCATTTGTACATTCATAGTATCTTATTATATATATACACGATACGTTCTGTATGACAGGGCTTGGCATTAGTCATTTTTTTGCCGCTGCACCAAGGTCCGCTTTCTCTGTGGCCTGACCATTGGAAGATGAGCACTTCCACTCCGCGCCGACGCACACGGCGCCTGGTTCGATTTTCCTGCCGCAGAGAAGGGTCGACTGTCATGCACCTTGGTTTGGTTGTACCCATGCCATAGACATCCAAGTAATCCTCTTGGTTTCTGGCGCGTCCTTTGTAGACCATTTAATGGATGCAAAGGGCGCTAAGCATCTTAAAGAGTGGCTCAATAGTTTCTTATATATATATATGTATACAGTAGTCCATGTACAGCTAGCACATAACCAGAAGTGGGGTATGGTTTCCCAATGCCCTAGGGGTGCATGACCTTAGCCCCAATGGGGCAAAGTCTTCGCCACAGTTGCCATTTGGCACTCAAGCGTGGCACAGCTCAGGGCCCTGCGACTCCGCATCCACAGATGGAGATCAATCCATCTGGGCTGGGAAAAATCTAGGTACTTCACTAGAAGAATTTGCGAGGTCTCCCAAAGTGAAGGTTCCCTCTCTCCAAGGTCCCTTATTTTCGGGCGGTTGTTTTTTTCCAAGTTGTCCAGATCTATCTATACATATGTTGAAGCGGAAGTACACAGTCAATCATAAGACTTGAAGCATCAGGAATCAAGCATATCGGTTCCAGGGTCCGAATCGGCTTGGTGCTTTCTTTTGTGGTGCTTGTTGTGCTCAGCTGGTGGAAATGCGTGAGGGAGGGTTTCAAGGCCCAGCCATTGGGAACTGTTTAACACCGTCCGGCCTAAAGTCGCCGCAAGCCACCCCATCGGTGCTGAGTCGCTTGCGTGAGGAACAAAAGAAATGTTTCGTGCAGCGGATTGGAGGATTGGCAAAATGGAGACGTGTTTCGGGATCGAACAGTGAAGCAAAATGACACCGAGCGGGGCCAAAGTTGGCAGCCTTCCAATTGGAGCGCCTTGCAGCCCAAAACTTAGCAGCCGAAGCGTTGCCTTGCCATTTGAAATGTGCAGCGAATGATTAAAGGAGATAGCTTGGCTGACTTCACTAGATTGCTGGCAGGAATCAAATGAACAAGCAACATTGGTATACTTGTATCAACACAAGATGTCACGACATCGCGGGGTGCGGGTATTAAAACGAGCTCACCAACGAGGAAACACGTTGCTTACTAGAAGATCTAATTTCCAGCTGGTGGCGTATAGTAATTGGCGCTGTATGGGTCTTAGAGATTCAGGAGCAGCCACCTTGCACTATTTTGCCGTGGATGCAAGAAGTGAGAGGACCCTGAATTCGGCAAGAAGCAGTGTGCTCGACCCCAAAGGAACCACTTGCTTCAGTTGAAGTCGTTTTCCAAAGCATTGATCAGACCCGCTTAGAGCCTGAAATCAGCATCACGGCTGCTGTTGGTCATGGTATCGGTGCTTGCCAGGATATGAAGGCATCATTGCGGCAGCTTCTTCGCTGCTTGGCTGAGCGAGCATGATTCGCTGATTTTCCTGGCCAAATTTTTGACGGGCCTGAACCTTACTTGGTGTCGGGATGCAGACATGTTGAAATGGGTCTGTCGATATTGTGTTCGGGTGCTTCACCTTTCGCCGTTGTTGACCTCAAGCAGCCGCTCGGATTTGCATGACACCGCCGAGTATCTTATTACAATGCCAGCGGGCGAGGCTTCCAACACGTGCCCAAGGGCGGGGAGGGGCTTGATTGCTAAATCCGAAATCAGATCACCAGTTATAAGATTTCGAGAAGGTTGTGCATGCAAAATTGGTGTTAGCGTCAATAATGCAGAGGAGGAGTCAAGCACAAGAACTGTCGTGTTTTTTGGAACAAAAATAGCAAATGATCAGGCTCCTGTTCTTCAGTTGCTAGTGGTCATTGCGAAGGCCTAGTGAAAATAGAGCGCCCAGTTGGACTCTGGCACCTGTGTTCCCCTTTTTGGGGCGAGGGGCTCCTTTTCAAAGCTAACCAAAGCAGGCCTGTGGGCTGGAGCGCGCTGGTACGGCTCAGGTTGCTTTCCCTTGTCTCGAGGCGAGAAGCATCACGACAAACTGCGACTGTTGGCTCCTTGGAATGAACAAGTGTCTCAAAGAATGAAAGCTGAACGGACGGTTTGAAGTGGAAGCCAAAGCCTGGAGGAGGCCCTGACTTTGAGATCTTGAGATCTGCCTCGGTCCAAATTTCACATTCGTGGCAGAGGGCGACCACGGGCAACCAGAAATACTGTCAGCTTCGCAATGAAAACCCAAAAGTCGCCTGAAATGGTTTCGCGTTTGACTGGGACATGTTGTCGGGGTTCTCAAATTGGGGAGCTTGTGTCCTTTTGCATTGAACTCAATGACACCAATGCGCGTTTGCGAAAGCATTTGATACTGATGTCAGCTCCAAGCTCCAAGAGAGCACCGTGCCAAACCACCACCAGTTCAATCATAGGGCACTGGTGCCTTGGTCCCGTTTGCTTTTGCACGCGTGAAAAGTCGCGTGAAAAGTCATGCATGCCCTCTTCCCCTTCAGTGACGCCAAAAGGAGCTCCTTGCGATGTTCAGCTGATTTTCACAGACCTCCAGTGGCGGCCCTTTTCCCTCGTTTTTTTTGAGGGGTGCCCTTCAAAATCACTATCCCCAAATTGAGTGCTCTTTTTTCCCATGGAAATCCACTGGGGGTCTGGGTTTTCCCTTAGTTTGCCAGGAAGTTCCCCGTAAGACTTCCCATCAGGAGCTGTGCGGGGGCGTGGGCGTCATCGGCCTCAGCCTGGCGCATGCGCTCAAAGAGGTGCGCCTGTTCCGCGCGACCAACCTCTGATATGAGGGAAGCAATATTTTTGAAGATACTAGATCCTCTAGTGCCCGCTAGTACCTCTACGAAGGACCCCTTTCGACTTGGAGGTACTCGTACCTTATTTGCCAAAGAGCGACCCATCAATTTTCCCCCTGATGTTTGTTTCCTCGTCATCACAATCGCTCGGAGTTGCCAGCAAGCTGCCGAGGCCACAGTGAGAATTTTGCCGTCCCAGAAGAAGACAGTGGTCCAACCAGTTTTGCAACCTCTTCGTTTGGGTATGTCTGTTTTCCTGTTGGTTTCCCTTGAAACCACAAAACAGAGGGCACCCTCCAAAAAAGACAAATTTGGTTTTGGCTAAAATCCTGGGGGCCCAGCTCCGCAGCCCCGAATTAAGTCCGCAGGAGGTGAGCCACCTCTCGCTGGTGAGCACCGACCAAAACCCCAACTGCGCCTTGGGCTTCCAAGTGTGTACCCCTCAGCTTGGAGGTCAGTGAGATTGGGGACTGAACCGATGCATTTTGCATGTCCTTCAGTGAGGCTTGCGCTCTGACACAGAGCCTGTGTGTGTGTGACATGTACATATGCTTTGCTACGCAACCAGAGATGGTGAACTTCCCACACCACACCAAAGCTTCGCCAGTGGAAGATATCGGTTTGAGGCAAATCGCGGCCAATGATGTTTTTTTTGGACTCCTCTTGATTTTCTCCTTCAGCCGCCAGTTTCTGTCTGGGCTGGAAGAGGGGGAGTCCAGACGCTTGAAGCACACACAGGTAGGACAAGGGCCGGGGAAATGGTACATTGCGATGAGCTTGATGTGCAGGGTCGGGCGCCCTGAGTTCTCCAAACCATATGTGTCCCGCCCTTTCTAGTTGGGGGTATTGTTAAGCCAGGGTAGGGTTCGCAGTTTGTTGGGGTTGAAGAGGCGTAAATCCTGGTACCATACATCAGCCCTAGTTTGCAAAGCCAAGCGCCGCTACGGCTTCGCATCAACTCATCAACGAATGCGCGGTTCAATGGCCCCATGACGAAACCATGCGGCCTTGCAGCGAGCTCACCGGAGTCGACGAGTCCATCCATTTTGAAGGTTTGCACATGGGGTATATGTCCAGTCTACGTTTGCGCAGATTCCACGGAGGCTTCATATGCCGGAAAGTGTGTGAGTGTCTCTGTGTGTCACAAACTCCAACCGGGAGGAACCTTCGTTCTAAGACTTGGTGTCAAGCTTGACTTCAAACATCCTGCCAAGATGTTTCTATCGCGGTGGCTCGATATGACTTGGCAGAGCTGGACCCACGTCTGAAAACATATGCTTGGATCTTTGGGAGGTCCAACAAGGCTAAGTTGTTGCGCTTCATATTGTTCTTCAAGAGAAGCTGTAAGCCCTCCTTGAGAGCGAATGGAAATTGGCAAAGCAATGCGCGTTGAGGCGCGAAGCTCTTCTGCGAGAACGCAAAGCAGGTCGAGGCGACGGGCGCGGCACAAAATCGCCCGTGGTGGAAAATGTCAATGGCCATGGGCTTGGCCAATGAGCCAAAAGCATTCCAATGGTCAGATGCTGGGAAACTCGGGTGGTGATGCATGTGTTTCGAGCGACTGGTGCCCAACAGGAACCAAGCAACAGAACTGCTGCTTATACAGGGTTGCTCGCTTGAATTGCGGTACTCCACGATGTGCTGGTCCTTTAAGGAAAACGGTCCAAGTCAATTCAGATTGCCAGGTCTAAAATTGACCAAGCTGTCTAGTTGAACTGAAAACCAAAGCAATGGTGTCCTTTTTTGAGGGTTCTACTTTGGTTTTCAATTAACACCTAAAGGATTCGCGGGGTCCCTTCTCATTTTCAACAATCGGATGATTCAACAAACACAACACCCCCCAAATGATTCGTTGTGCATTTGGACCTTTGGGTCAAACCCAAACGCAGTATCCCGCTCCCGCGAAAGACCACGGGGTTGGAGCGAGGGCGAGATCTCGGCGGAGTTCGCTGCGATGTCAGCCACGGAGGCCGGAATGGCCCAGGCCTAACCGCAGATCTTCCCTGAGCCTTTGGCTGAATGGTAAGAATATGTTACATTGTTGCTTAGAATCGGAACCTGCCGGGCGGGAACCTAAGGCACCCTCATGGTGGTTTCCATATCGATACCCATCCTGGATTGGCCTCCTTTCAGAAGGAGATGGCTGTTTTGCCGATGTTCAAGGCAGCAGGGTTGCACGTTGGCTTGTTGAGCATGGCTATTGCAAAGAACTTGGAATCTGGATTGTGCTTACGCCTCGAGTGGCATAGCGGCTTGAGGTTCATAGGCGCTGGCATGTTCAACGCAGCATTAGCAGTAGCAAGTCTCTTCCTGACGCTTTAGCTACGATTCAAAGAAGTCAGTGCAGCGTTTGATTGTCCTCACCGTAGGTTCAGTCCTGTGCTCACTCTGCGTGTCCATGCCAGCACAATGCCCCCTAGCGGACGGGTTGCTGTTGGATTTTACCGGCGGGGAATGAAGCAGAGCATCTGCGCAGCAGCAGGATCATCCGCCAACGTCACTGTTGGCGGGTGTTTCCATGGCTGATGCTTACGGCATTGGTTGGCCAATCAAGAACCGTGTTTCCGAAGCAGTGATCATGGCATGGATCGGAAACCGTTTGCCCCAAAGGAACCTCCCCTCTCCCAAACCTGCAACCAGACTACAATGGCAACACCTCGGTGCATTTCAGATTGATCCGCATTGAGCAGGGGTTGTTCTCCTTTCAGTCGGGGGTTGACCCATTTATGGCGCTGGAACGCATTTGAACAGGGAGTACGCTTGTTCAAATCCAAAGTTGCTGTAGAGGAATGAGCTTTCATTCCAATGGGAGTCTTTCGTGGGGTGCAGTTTCTGACAGCCAGTTGTGACTTCACCCAGAACTCCCCAAAGCTCCGAAGGTGCGCAAGTAGCCCCACGAGTTGTTGAGTCCCAGCCCCGACAAGAAAACATATGTCCTTTTCTCCTATTCAAAACACTGGGCAAGTGGGACCTGGGACCCTCTCCCCTCTCAACGTGCATCTTGCTGATGTGCGCCCAAGGAGGCACCTTACTCGCCCATAATTTGAGATGCGACTCTCGGGCCAACTTGGAACCAGGCCCTCTCGGCACTATCGGATGCTGATGCTGCTTGTCTGGGAAGACTGGACTTGCACCGATTTGACGTCTATGTTTGAGCAAGGGGCTCCCAACCGCCCGCTTTGATGTTTTGCATACTGTCTCTTGCCAGCTTCTGGCCTTCGCACTGCGTTCAGTCGCATTGCTCAGTTGTGTGTTGGAGTGTTTGGTAGCGCCAAAGATCATACCCATTGTAATACCCATTGCCCTTCCAGAAGACCCCGAAGGCCTTGCAGCCCTTGGTGGGCCGAGCGTAGCGGTGTCTATGGGGGCTGATGTCAGATTTTGTCTTCAGGTCGGCTTCGCCATGTGTACATTGTACTGCTTGCTCTCAATCCTAGAAAATGCAGACGAGGTCCTTTGATGTCTCGCATTCTTTATTTTTCCACCTCAACCCTTTTGTCATTCCTTTGATCCATTCCTTTCATTCGCTCAAAAGCGTGTTTAGGAAGATTCCATGTTGCCATTCCACGTCAAGACATCAATATACAAGAAAAACCAGCTCGATCGTTATCTCTGTCGTATATGATCAAGGATTATCCCATTCTGATAGTCTACGCTCCGTTTGTCGAGGATATTGGGGGGGACTCGCTGTTTCCGCCATTGCTCAACAGACGAGAGAGGGGGGGCTGTCCAAATGCAACGATTGGAAGTAGTATTGTCGCTTCAACCTAATATACTGTCAAATCTAAGTCCTGGCGTGACTTGGTAGCAGTTTTAGCGAGGGCCTATAGACACCGAATATTGGCTTGATAGACAGGTTGGTAGAATCCCTGCCAACGTGTTTCTTGATGAGCACTGTCAAATCTGTGGATGGTCCGCTGATTGTCAGGATGGACACGGTTGCCCTTGTTGGACATACGTGGTCCTTATTGAGGTTAGATGTCCCTTCCCCGTACCACTGATCTTTGACAGGGGCTCAAAATCAGAGGATGCTACCAATAGGAAAGTGAAACTGTCTCGCCCAGACAATTAGTGTTCCAGAGGTCCAGAGGTGCGATTCGACTCGCCTTTTTCAGATCGCCGCCTCAGTCTGCTGCTCAGCTGCTCCGCTTTTGCGCTCGAATAGCCCAGCTGCGTGGCGCAATGTCCGGACGAGAGTCGCAGAAGCTCACCAAGCAGATTGCAGCCTTGGGGTTGGAGACTCCGAATCCGAAGCTTATGGCCAAGATGATGAGCAGCCAAGTAGCAAGCAAGAACGGGCGCTCAAGGACGGGTGTTTAGCTAAGAACCACAGGCGAGTTCAGGGGTCGCTTTTGGACTGGCAGATGCGACTAAGAGCTGAAAGCATGGACAAGCATAAAAGTTGCCACATCGGGCCAGCATATTTTGAACCAAGTCCCAGACCAGGACCACCTATTTCGAAAGTGGTGTACCATCAAACCATCCTTCTGAGGTTTTTTTTTTTTTTTTTTTTTTTTTTCCGGGTGACAGGGGCCCGGTTTCAGAGGTCGTCTTGAGCAGACGAATTTCCGGGGATGGCCACCAAGGTTCAGGTGTGGCTTCTTTGACAAGGTTATTAGCAGTTTATTTTTCTTTCAGGATGGCTTTCTACGGTTGATCAAAGTGAGCTCACCTTCAAAACCCTGCGGCAGGTTTTTGAATCCTGGAATGATTGCCCAATCAAGCAGCTCATTGTTTGGTCTATTTAGATCAAGCGTGGATTGAGGGAGGCTGGAAGCCATGCAGAAGGTTGTCATACATTTGCCAACAAGCCCTTTGTGGCGTTTCCATGCCGTGCTGTGTCACCTCAAGGAGATATGTCAAAGTTGTGTTCACTGATTCGTATGCGCTCAACACACTGCGGCAGCATGGCATTCTGAGCGCTGCCTGCACATTCAAGCAATATTGACACCCAATGGTCCATGGTTCGGTTTTCCGTCAACAAAACACGGGCATCCTGTAAACTGGGAGCCGCTGGACAGGTAAGTTGTCCAAAGGGAATCCCGCCACCTTGTCCGACAAGTTTGCCTTTGAGCCTTTTCCACCTCTGCATATCCGTGTTGCTGCGGCCCCTCTTGGCTTGCGCGAGGGGTTCTCAAAGTCAAAAACATGTTTCAGGTCCCTTCTCTTCAACTCACCACTTGCAGGCTGCCTTGGAAAGTGTTATCAAACATGGTTTCCAGGCGGCACCATATGCCGCTCTTCGGTTTGTGTTCCGAGTTGGCCTAGTCGCGAGGCAAGTTGGTGGTGCGGGAGGCTGGTCCAGCGGCCAGCAACTCCCGCCCGCGCGAAGTGATGCTCAGCCCAGAGGTTGAAGTCAATCAAAGCTTTGTTGCGTCCAAAGACAAGTGAGCTGGCTGGTGACGACTTCCGCCAGGATTCACTTGTGGTTGAGCAAGTAGACCTGTTACCAACCAGGCTGTGTTTGATGATGCAGCCCCATAACAAGACAATTGAACAGCATGTTGTGTTTGAGGCTGACCGGTTTTCGGTCCACATTGCAATCTGGCAAGCCGGGCAGGAAATTGTGTGCCTACAATAAATCCGCTCCAGCAACTTGTGGAGCAAATATGCGCAAGTGTGCGGAGAGTCTTTCAGAGTTGACCTTTGATTATGCTGGTCAGTGCTCAGTCATCTCGATTCCGTTGCAGAGCCAGGTGTGTCTCAAACCTAAGAGCCCCTAGTGGCAACTTCGGGGGTTCCCGAGAAAAAGGCATCTCAGTTGCTTCGAACTTGCACCCGTCGCAAACTGCAACCTCTGTTCCGCACAGAATTGCCCGAGGTTCTGTTGGTCAAACTTTGTCTCGGAGCTTTGCGGTAAATTACATTCATTCATGCTGATGGCCGGATGCAAATCATGGCGATAGTTACCCGGCACCGACTTGTGCAGAAAGTCAGGATCAACTAGTTTGTACTCGTATGAGAGTGCTGGTGGACAGCGGACGCTTTATTTGCTTTGACGTTTGAGACTATTTGCGACCAAACATGTTCGGTTGGTGCTGCAAGTGACTAGCGGCACAGGGCCCAAGCTCCCCATAGGGTCAAAAATTAGCCCAATACAGTTCACAATGATTAGAAAGAAACAGTTGGTCGTCTTCGATAGTTCTTATCGTTTGATCGTGGGTTCCAACAAATGAGGCGACTGGCGCTTCTACGTACAGAAAAGCAAGCTCATGAGTGAGAGAGTTTGACAAAAGGAGAACCCTTTTTCAACATCCCTTTTTAGAGGGACCCTTGTGAGGCCACCCATGTCACAAAACCGGGTGCCCAAAGGGCTGGTTTCACCTTTGTTCAATCAAGCCTGCACGTCCTTCTAATCGGCCAAATGCTCCGTCCATGGCATGAGTCAGTTCAGTCAGCTGTGCATGGGGCGATCTCCATGGGTAGATGACTTGTTTCACCACGCGTGCAGCTCAGCGCGTCACCCGACGGTGTTGAACGCCACAACAGGATCACTGGAAGGCCAATCAAATGGCACTGTGAGCAGAATGCTTGTCGCAGGTGTGTCATAATGCTTCCCCGCTGCCTCAGGCACCCGTGACGTACTGCTACGTACTGCAAAATACTAACAAGCGCAAAAATGAATATGATAACGCCCGTTCAACAGCCGAAGCCATTTCGGTCTTCCGATTGATCCTGAGCCTGCAACAATGCATTGAATTCTGCTGTGCAAGAAGCTTTGTGAGCAGGACTTGCTACTGTTGCATACCACTTCAATATGTTGACGGGGGTCATGTCATAGCTTATCGACAGAAGTTTGTTCTGCATACCGCGATATGTTGACGGATGCTTGTGTTCCTCGCATTTGATCTCCTCACATGGTCGAACTAGACCCTGGAAACCCGCATTTGAGCAGTCTTAAAGCGCTTAAAGGTGACATTGATTAAAGCTATAGCAATGGGAGCCATTGTGAACAAGCAATCAGCGGCTAGGATCGGACCATTGAAGACCATTCCCATGGACGCTCTGACCCTTCCAGCTGATCTGTTGAACTTGAAATTTCTGGGCCCCTTGTTCTTAGTTTTCAAAGGGAAACCAAAGGATGTCAACCATTCTCGGGGCCCTAGGGAATCCCTTTGAGAAACTCCCACCTTCTCGCAAGTTGCTGATGGCTTCTCATGGCTTGGAAGAAACATGGACATGCAGTGTCCCAAGAATCGGGTACGACTGCAAGCATTGCATGGTCGTTTTTGTTGTTGGTTTTCCCTTACAACCCCAAAAAGGCGTACCAAAAAAGCACCCTGAAAGTGCTGAAATGTGGGCATAGCAAGCCCTGGTGGAGTTGCCACGCTGGAGTATGAGATTCAGTTCGCTGTATGCATTGCCATATTTTCCAGCTTGAGGCGACAAAAGGAGGGCTTAGCCTTCTATTGATTCTATTTGGCATCATCGCCTGTTTAAGATTCGGCACTACCGCCTGTTTAAAATGTCACTTCGGCATGCTTCACCTGCGCGCGAGCATGCACCATTCACAGCATGTGTTGGTGCAGGCAGCACGTGCGGCGGTTCCTTCATCAGATTGGCTGAAACTCGATTTCCAACTGCAGGGGTGAGAGGTGTGATCAGCTGAGCGCACAGACCCGCTGATGGAAGTGCACACGTGGAACCCAGGCTGTTACCTTGCTGCGTTCTGGGCTCAGCTGGTCGTACCGTCATACCCCACAGGGTGCTGGCAATGCGGTGCCCAAGCGTTGGTCGAGAAAGGCTGGTCAGCTCGAGGCAGGACAACGGTTGATCACCCAACTACAAGGAAACCCAAGCACGCGTCATTTCATTACGGAATCACTCGTTATCCCGTGTTCGTTTCATACTTGCTGTAAAGAAGCTTTTTGTGACAGCTTTGAGTGAGAATGACATCTTGCAGGGTGCTGCTTGTTCCCCACTTGCAGTGGGGATCAACCGTAAGGAGCAGATTCAGATTCAGGTTTCGATGGAAAAGCGTCATTCAGCACAGCCTGTCAAGCCATGTCGGTGTTGTGTCTAATCCAGGCAGGTTGATCATTGCAAACCCACTTCCCGGACTCAATGCGTTGCGGGTCCAGCAGTCCCTGCCTTCAGTGTTGCCATAGGTTCATCTCAGCCTCTCTGAGCCACCGGTTGGGATGTTACCTGATCTATCAATTGATCTTAAATCTTCTGCGTATATACAGTCGCTTCGCAGGTTTTGCCGTCAGAATCCCGCCATCGCTGCTGTAAAACCACACTTCCAAGAAGTGTCTGGACTTAGCCCGTGTTATTCTTATGTGAAGCTCACTGCCACTTGTGGGAAAAACAAGGCCACGCCGCCATAGCGGCGCTGGTCGTTTTAGCAACGCGGGACGATCATTTAAAATTCAAGGTGGCCGAAGCTGCACGTAAGTTCCAGTGAATGCAACCACTCCGCCCCACCCGCCACCCCACCCCGTGCTCTGCTTGCGACCGTGCCAATTAGGAATGTGCAAAGCACTTCTTGTGAACGCAACCACCCCACCCGCGAATGCGCAAAGCACTTCTTGTGAGCGCAACCACCCCACCTCAGCCCCCACCCCACCCCATGCACTGTTTGCGGCTGTGCCAATGGGGCGTGCGCGAAGCACTTCTTGTGAAAGTCACCCCCCCAGCCTGATTGCGACCGTGCCCAGGGGAATGCGCGACGCACTTATTGTGAACTTGAGCAAACTCAAGCTTTGCCTTTTTGTTGGAGGCCAATCTGAGGAGTGATGAGTGACTCCCCTTTCGGTCACAGATTTTGGCTGCCAACTGTCATAGCTTTCTCTCTGCGCATTTGTTTAAGGTGACTTGTTGTCTTCCCAACGGCCACTGCTACAGTATGTGGGCCCTCAAAACAGATTGAACTTTCATTTTGGGTGGGTACGGGAAACCAAGAGGAATCAACCGTGATCATTTTGGAACCTGCAAATAGCACCCGTTTGGTGGTCCCCCTTTCCGCGCGCCTTGGGGGGGGGGTGCGCTAGTGCAGCAAGAATGAATATCTTGCATCATAAAACGACTTTTTGAGTTCCAAAGCCCCTAAAGCTTGCCTTGAAAATCATTGCCACAGCGGTTTGAAGCCACCCGATCAGCCTTCCCGGAATTCCACCACAAAATTCAGCTAGAAAAATCGGTCTCTGCATGGTCCGCCTTGTCGGACCAGTTCTTTTTCACCCACAACCCACCCGCCCATGGGTGTTTTACGCGCCTCAGGTCCTCATCCTGGATCCTCCCCGGCGCGGGCTGGCCGCCGCGCAGCAGCGCGCACGACTCTTGGGGGGCCAGGAGCGAGCTGAGCGGGACGCAAAGGGTTGGTGTTCGGCCGGTCAATGGCTTCAAACAAACATGCGGGGAAACAGCGTTTTGTTTTCCGAACTGGGGTGGGGGGGGGGGGTCGGGGCGGGCGAAACAATCCCACCTTTTTAGGTTTAGGTAAAACAGATGAAAAGTTGTTCAGTTGTTGAGTCGAGTCCTCAGAGCAAAAGCCAAAGTGGCAACATGAAAACAGAAACGGGTCTAAATGTTGGCATTGCGTGGTTTCTTGGAACTGTTAGTCAAAGCCCTGTTGGGTTCCAGTTGGTTCCCAACAAACCGTCCTGCCAAAAAAGGGTTCCACCCGTCTGCACTGTATCCTTGCCGTATTAGAGACTTGGCATACAGACTTTACAGTTGATAAATAATATGCCCCAAATGCTTTGGATTCCCATCCTCAGCCAGACTACCCTTCCCCCCCTCCCCCCCGCCCAGTTCATTCATGAACTTCCAACAAGGGGGCTGAACAGGGTGGCCTCCCCCCCCCCGGCCACTGGGCCGTAATTTGTGTCTGTGTGTGTGTGTATTGTGCACATGTTGTCTGATTTGTCGTGGCATGTTCGTGCTTCTTGGTCTGCCGTCCTGGCTTTGAATCGCACAGTTTGTTACCCTTAAGGTCTAAGAACATACAGCTGGTGACTTGTCTTACACGCGCCCCTCCGCGCTTGCTCTATTCATGTCCGCTACCTTGGGTTCAGAGCCCAGGAGGAAGCAGCGGCCATCCGGAACTCCTCTGTCTGGGCAGCGCCTCGATCAGAAGGCCATCCAGCAACCTGCCCAGTGAGCTCCTCCCTTGGGCTGTGCATTTACCTTGAAAGTTCAACCAACCCAAAAACGTAAATTCAAAGCCACTGGGCTGGTATTGGTTTGAACCGAGTGCGCTGCGAACGCCTACTCAGTCAAGGGATGTCATACCCCATGAAGGATGTGTCTGGGCTTTATGATTAGATGAGATGACTTCTGGAAACCAAACTCCAATCACAAGCGACATCTTGCAGTGATTGAGAAGTTCTTGGCCGATGTCCAGCAAGCACACGATTGGTCGTGAAGGCGGGCCAACATGCGGCCGAAACGGGTCCACTCCGGCCAACATGCAAGCCCTCGACATGCTTTTGCCGGGCCGCTTTGAAGACAACCTGTTCGCACTAGTGTTGGCACGTTCTTGCAAGCGCGGTTGGTGTTCTACATACATGAATGCACAAGCAGGAATGTGTTTGTGTTCCGCAGTACTTTTGCGGTCCTACCTGGAAAGTGCTGGCGCAGGAATGCATTCCGGTGTGTGATTGATTTGCATCACCATTGGTATGCTTCACATTGGTCCCACCCCTGCAGTATTTGACCAGACTTGCATGAGCATAGTTTCGAGTCAGCTCGTTTGATGTCCTCAGAATGTCGCTGTCCTACCTCATAAGGGTGCAAGACTGTGTTTGTGAAGTACTCGCCCGATGGTTAATGCCCCAGCAGCTTGATTCGCACACTGATAGGCTCCCGCTTCGGTTTCCACAATCGAGCTAATCATTTGTAGTCATTTAGTCATGGCTTGCCACACCGGACGGCTACTTGTCACGTTGAACCGCAGCCGCTTCCGCTTTTGGATCTTCGGATTTCGGGGCCAGTAGCTGTCTGGTTCGAAGGCTCTCGTTGTGAAGGCACTTTGGGCCACACATGCTAGCGGAGTGCGCGGCGGTACCTTAGTGAGATAGGATCTTAATGAAACAGAGGCAACAATAGACTCACCCCTCCAGAACTGCAGGTTGTGCCTTCAAGGCAGAAATTGCAGTCGCACTCATGGTAGTCGAGCCTGAGTATTCAGGATCCTTTGTGTTATGAGCCCGAAAGAGCCTTCAAACATTGAGCTTGATCATCTAAGCGATCAAACAAGAACACTCTTGTGAAACTTCGACTTCTGCACTTTGACAAAGCCCAGGTTTGCAGACGCTCCTCCATCAAGAATGCTAACACGCTTTATGTCAAAACATCAGAACAGTTATCGTTTGTGCGGATTTCCCGAATGGACACCAATGCATGCGATTGCTTGCCAAGCCCTGTGCAAGCTACAAAGGGCTTAGCTGCGTTGCTGTCGCTTTCAGCCTGCACATCCACGTTCAGGCTCATGCGAGGCACCGTGCATAAATGCGCAATATGCAGAATGGAGGTTGCTTTGATGACATGTCCATCATGCCCGCCCAGTCGTAACACTATGCCGATGGTTTTTGTTGACAGTCTGTCACCGGCATGGTCGGAATCAACCATGCATGTGATGCAAGAGTTATGCTGCTGCTGTCATTACCTCAAGGCAACAACTGGCTTATGCAGCATATATTATTCGTCCACATTCGTCCATATTCGTCCAATGTGTTTCAATGCTTGCATATGCCACTGCTTTGGGTTGACACCCTCGCCCAAATCTGCTCTGTCTTGACTGAGAAAGCTAGCCCTCATCACGCATGAGTGAAACATGGATGTGTCTGCAGGAGACACTTGCATCAAGCTGCAATTGTTCAACGGCGTCACCATAATTATTCACAGAAGGTGTCTTGACGCTCTTACCGTTCGACTTCTGCAAGCCAAGTGATGACACAATGATCTCCACATGATGCTGATCTTGCTTAATCCTGCCTTGCTCTTGCCTATGTATTACAACTCTGTTCAAGATTGTGGAGAAAAGACAACCCGGGGGCTCTCTCGTACAGAGTCAGAGTACTTGGACTTCAAGGCTGCTGCCATCTTGTCCAAAGCCATTTTGCGTCCGAGAAAATAGAAGTCATCGCCATGAACCGCTCCGCGGCTCGGCAGTTGCTGGTTGCAGGGCAAGGCAGGCTTTGCAACGCCGATTGAGTACACAGAGTCTACTTCTGGCAGATTCGCTGGCTGATCTTCCATCCAGTTGTGGGATGCATCGCGGATCCCGCACTTCGAGCAGTTCAATCGCGCGATTACGTCTGGCTCTCCAGGCTCTCGATCTTCTTCGGGATTTCCACGTACAGCTCTTTGCTCGCTGGCGCCATGAAGTACGCCCAGCTCATGTCAAGCGCTCCTAGAGCTTGAGGCTTTGAGCATACTCCATCAGTTTCCAGCAGCGAAAGCAGCGAAAGCAGCGACTTGACCATCTCCCATGGCGGCATCGCACTAAAGAGTTCATGAGCTTGCAGGGACCATCTTGCTTCAGGTACATATTGAACAGGTGTCCCTCGCGAAAGAGCGGGAGCTCATCACAATCGCCGGGGTACTCTTTCCTCAACCTTTTGGCCAAGGGGCTTGCCTTTGGAATCAACGAGCCTCCCTCCCTCCGCCCAGAGCAAGCAGTCATAACTTTTGCTGAACTCGGCTGCTGATCCCAAGGACTTGTGCACCTCGAAAAACCTGAAAGCTGCTTTGCGTCCCTCTTGCATGCACGGCCGGACCCAAAAGTGGCCATGGTTGGGAATCTGCTCTCCCCAGGCCACGAACTCATCCTCGGACGGATCTCCTGGAACCATCTGGAATGGCTGTGGTCCCCGCTCCGGAGTCATAGTTGAACCACCATTCGCCCCATTGATGGCTTGACGCATTCAAGTCAAGACAGCTGAGCCCCCTCCCAGTCAGCGCCCCCAGCAAGGCTTGCCTTCCCCGCCTTTGCCTTCTGGCTTTCCTTTGCCTTTCATCGTTTGGAGCTTGGCTAATCGCCATCCTTGCAGTCTTTGCCGTGGTGGCCGTATCAGTTGCAAACTGGGCACTGGACGTTCTGGCTCATGCCCGCGCCCTTCGATCAGTCGACGGCTTGGTGGCCGAGCCTGCCTTGCCCTTGGGATCGGGTCTCTTTGTGAAAATCAGTCTTGTCAGTCATGTTCAGAGAATATCAGTCGAGGCATAGCTGACTAGCTGGTCATAAAATCTTCGAAACTGGCACAGTCTGACCAGTGGAACATGACCTGCTGCTCAAAGAAGTTTGGCATCAGCTTGCACATGGCCCGAATCGTCCCAGAATTGCCATGCCAGTCTGCAAACTCTTCACACTGCCTCTTCTTGCTCAGCAAATTCCGTCCAAGGCCGAGCCCAAGTTCTCATTTGCTCACACTTGGGCGGGTTCGGCAACAAACACCCAAATGGCCACGCGCTGTGGGGTCGTACTCATTGTGGAGCCTTCTCCTCTAGCTCCACGTCAGACCCAGCACCCAGCACTCCTCACTATCTTGTTGGAATCCCCGGTGGTGAATGCTACGAGCCTCCGCTGCGGCATCAATTCAATGTCGTCGTCAGCCTCTTCTCCAAAGACTCGGCTGTACGCCACTTGTCGCGTCGCCCATTTGAGTCC